GAAAAAAAAAAAAAAAAAAAAAAATGAAAAGCCAGCAGGTCCAGGAAATATGGTAAAGGGTTTTAAAAATGAGATGCTTCTTCTCCAGTGTCCTGCCCCTTCCATAGCTATATATATTCTCCTGAGTGTAAAAATTGCCCAAATCAGAATGGCAGTATTAAACTGTGATCTTCATCACATGTACAAGCACTCTCAGATACAAATCCTGAAACAAAGTGCACAGTTGAGAATCTGGCCCATCACAGCCTTTTAACTGAATTCTAAAATGAACAGAACAAGTAGTAGATGTCTTTGAAGAAAAAGCAACAAATTACAACCTGATCTTGAGAAACAATTTGCAAACTCAATATTTAGAAGTAGAATACTGATATTTTTGAGCCTTAAAAACTTTAACAGTACTAATACTTTATAAATGGATCTTTCCCTTTTGAATCTTTCCAGACCCAGTCTATGTGCCAACAAAGAAAACAAAAACATTTGCTACTGATGGTAAGCAGTACATTGTGTAATACCTTGATTTAAGTCTTATAGGTATGACTTTTAAATGTGTTTAGTAAGACTGGATTATCTGTGTGTGAATACAGTAAAGTGTAGTTAATTTGTCACTGGAATAGACTTCATAGACGTTAGGGCTGGAAGGGACCATGTAAGATCATTGGGTCCAACCACCTGCCCAAGAGGCAGGAAGTCAGCTAGGGTCAAAGGATCCCAGCAAGATAAATCTCCAAATGTTTCTTGAGAGTGTCAGAGTAGGTGCTTGCACCACCTCTGGGGAGAGTTTGTTCCAGGCCTTGGGGCTCAGACAGTACAAAAGTTTTTTCCTTCATGTCCAGCCTAAAATGATCTAGCAGGAGTTTGTGAACATTGGACCTTGTCATCCCTTGGGGTGCTCTGGTGTTCCCCAGATCCTGATGCACACCCCTTATGTACTTATAGGCTGCCACTGAGCCTGTGCTTCTCCAGGAGCTATGAGGATTCCCATAGTTCACAACCTCTCTTCATAAGGCCTGTTTTCATGCCCTCTGAGCATGCTCCAGCTGCAGCCTCAACAAGGCCAAGTACAGCGGGAGGATGGCATCCTGGGTCTTGCTCGAGATGCATCAGTAGCGGCAAGTGTCACAATACGGTCTCCCTAAGGATGGCCATGATGTCCCTAGGGCACAGTGACCATGCTGGCTCCACCCTGTGGGTGCCTGCTAATCTTGCCTGCCACATCTTGCTGGTATAAGTGATGAATCAGGAGGCTGCCCTAGAGTTGCTGCTCATTCACAGTCCTGACAGACGCTTCTAAACCCTGTGGGTTGTTGGACCTCTTATTGGGTCCCACACTCAGGAGGTGACTTATGATACCCCCAAGCCCTATGGGCTAGGTGCATGACTCCAAAACCACCCCTTTATCATGTCCCATGCCTCACCAATGGTATGCACACGTTGTCTTCTCATGTTGAGGTCTCAGTTTTATCTGGCCTCAGCAACTGCGACCCCTCTGGTGCTGGGGTCTCCACACACTGGGTGCCCCAATGAGGCCTCCTCCTCCCCAAAAGCCTCATCCTGGTCCACCAGTTTAAATAACAACAGAAAGCACAAGCCCCTGTGCTACAACACAACAGTAATATAGGGTCCACATGCTATCCCTTTTAAGAAGGCAAGCCTCCTCCCCACCAGCACTTATGAGCACCTGTAGCCCCTTAATCCTACCAGCATCAGAACAGGCAGTCAAGCATCTCCAAGTAGCCTCCTTTATGAGATCTCCTTGCCCCTTGGCTGCTGCCAGAGAGCTAACTCTCTAGTCCCAGCCCCAAGGGTTTATATGTGCCCAGGGCCCTGTCGTCTTCCGGTCATCTGACTGGGTGCAGGTGCAGGCTGATTCCCTCATTAGCCTACTGCCACAGTAACCTGCACCTGTGGGGGTTTCTGCCTGACTGCCAGCGCTCTCTCCCTAGGCAGTTTCTGTCCTTAAAGGAGCAAGCACCTTGCTGTGTGACAGCAAGCCAGAGTTTTGTTTGCTTTGTCAGCTGCGGTATTGCATTGGTGGCTCATATTCATCTTGTGATCAATCATGACTCCCAAGTCTCTTTCGGTCAGGTTTTCATCCACCCACCTTGCAAGCCTATCAAGGTCAGCCTGGATCACCAGCCTCTCCTCAAGTTTGGACACTCTTCTCCAAAGTCTGGTGTCATCAGCAAACTTGGCCAGTCCACTTTTGACACCAGTGTCCAGATTGTTTATGAAGACATTAAAAAGTACAGGTCCAAAAACAGAGCCTTGGGGGACACCACTAGTCACAGAGTGCCATGTTGATTCAGTTCTGTCAACTACCACTTTCTGGGTCTGACCTTGGAGCCAGTTCCCCAGCCACTGGACTGTGGAGTACTTGAGGCTGCAGTTGCCCAATTTTTCCATGACATCACAGGACACCAGGTCAAATGGGCTTTTTTAAAGTCCAAATATATAACATCAACCTCTTCCCTTATGTCCATGTGGTATGTCACCTGGTCATAGAAGGAAATGAGATTGGTCAAGAAAGACCTACCCACAACAAACCTGTGCTGGCTATCCCTCAGAATGTTGCCTTCCGTTAGCCTGTCGAGAATGGTTTCTTTGTTAATTTTTTCCAAAACCTTCCCAGGGACTGAGGTCAAACTGATGGGTCTATAGTTTACCAGGTCTTCTTTCCTCCCTTTCCTGAATATGAGCACCACGTTGGCCCTTTTCCAGTCTTCAGGTACTTTGCCCGAGCACCATGAGTACTCGAATATTCTTGCCAGTGGCTGTGCTCTGATGTCTGCCAGTTCCTTTAGCAGTCCTGGGTGCAACTTATCCAAACCAGCTGATTTACAGGGGTCCAGCCTCTCAAGATGCTCCCTCACAAGATCCACACCAACGATGGGCATATATTCATCTTCACCCTGGTCATCCTACATCATGTTTGGCAGGGTGGTCCCTTTGGGCTGGTGAAAAACTGACACAAAGTAATCATTAAGCAGATTGGCTTATTCCTGGGTATCAGTAGTCAGCTGCCCCAGCTGGTTTTGCAGGGGTCTAGTGTTGTCCTTGTTTTTCTTTTGACTCCCTACATATCGGAAGAAGGACTTTTTTATTGTCCTTGATTCATGTAGCCAGATGGAGTTCAGTTGTAGCCTTGGCTTTTCTAGTTCCCTCCCTGCAGGTGCAGACCAGTGCAGTATACTCCTCCTTAGTGGTGTTTCCTTTCCTCCATCCATTATACGCCTCTCGATTTAAACATAGGAAGTCCATGAGTTCCCTGTTGAAACAAGGGGATTATAGGGCCCTTTTACCGCCTTTCCTACGGGTGGGGATGGACTCCCCTTGTGCTTCTAGGATTGCTTCCTTAAGGAGCAACCACTCATTATGAACCCCTCGCCCTGTGAAATCATGGCTTCTCAGGGCCTCAAGAACAAGCTTCCTGAACATATGAAAGTTGCCTTCCTAAAGTCAAGGACTGCTGCATTGCTGGCTGACTTGCCAACTGTGTGATGGATGGTGAAAGTGATCAATCCCTTTGATTCTTAGGTTGCTGATTAGATCATGCCCTTTGGCCAGTACCAGGTGCAGCAGAGCCTTGCCTCTTGTCAGCCCACAAACTTTTTGTTTATGGCCCATAATGAAATCACACATTCTCTGACAAAACCCACAAAATCCATGATTAAAATGAAAGGTCACTATATACACACACATACACAAACATACATACACACACATACACAAACATACATATACATATATGCACACACACATATACATATATAAACATATACATGCACATATATACATACATGCACATATACACACACACACATATATACACCCACATATACATCCATATACACACACATATACATCCATATACACGTGTGTATATATGTGTGTGTATATGTGTATGTATACACACACACAGCATGTATGTGTATATATATACACACACACATATATACACACGTATATAGACACTGTGTGTGTATATACACACAGTGTATGTGTGTATATACACACACACTTGCTCACACTGTGTGTGTGGATATATATTATACATATACACACACACGTCTGTGTGTTTGTGTGTGTACATATATACACATGCGTGTGTATACACACGTGTATGTGTACACACACAAATATATATACACACATGTATATACATATATATATAGGTATCAATTGAACACAATATTTTCTTGATACATTTACAATTTTAAAGCCGTTTAGAAGCCTACCAGTGCCTCAATCACTATAAGAAAATAATTTCTAAATACATACCAATTTTGGTATTAGATTTTGGTTTTTTTATCACGGAATATCAGAGCTTCTCCTGCCCCTTTTGCTCACAGAACGCAGATCCAGGCCCCTCACTCCCAAGCCAGAGCCCCCCACCCCTGCCAATATTCCACAGCCCCCCCAGCACTGGAAGGGGGCTCCCCAGCTGCCAGGGCCACAGTGCCATGCCCCCTTCAGCAGCACCCAAATCCCAACTCTCCAACTCTCGCCCGCAGGCGGCAACTGTTGCAGCAGAGCAGAGCACAGAGCCCAGCTTTCCTGCCCCCACACCCGCTGCCTGCCTGCTGCGGGCTTGGGACTAGTTCCCCGCCACTGCGCACACTCCTGGAGAGTCCGGGGGGATCTGTGCACC